ACCCTGCACATACTAACATACTATGCAAAAGGCATGAATCCCATAAAAAACTACTCACTGAAAAAATGTCTATGTTCTGAAACATAATAAGTAGTAACACATACACTGTTTCAGTAAGTTTCCTCACAACTGATGGAAGAGGAAATGTCCCAGCCCATGGAAAAATCTTTGACAAACGAGGAGATCTTGCAGGATTGGGAAGGAAACCCCAAAATGGCGTTGCGTTAAGCAATGTGACCCCCTTTACAAGGTGTGGGCTGGATGCAGCTAAATATAGAGCAACAAAACCTCCAAGAGAGTTTCCCACGATATAAACTGGCTCACCGATAACCTGCAAGAGGGTTATAAACCTAGAATAAGATAAATGAGACATAAATCCAACAGCTGAAGAGTGTCACCGAACTGGCTGTGAATAGGAAGATTCTAAATAGTATGAAAACAAATAAAAAATTGTATGATTGGCATAACAGTCCTGGGAGACGCATTAACATTTACAACTAGCAAAGTTGAACCTGTACCACATAGATCAGTTATATTCCCAGGACCTTTCTTAATCGTATGACGAAAAACCAAGAAACATTCACCAAACAGGATGTGTTAACGATACATCATTTTGCTTTCATCAAGAATTAGTGAGCACCAAAGAAGATTTTCTTTTTTTTAAAAGGAGGGTAACCCCGGCCTCTGCATCATTGCGATGCACACAGCCATCAAGCACCAAAGAACACCAAAGAAGATGATTACATTGTGTTCCAACTGGGAGATTCGCAAGTAAGCAAGAACTCAATTGTGCAACTATGACGAGTTTGAATATACATGATATTTGTGATTCTTGACCAGCCGACCATAACAACATTTTCACAAGTCTATGTATAGATGTATACTACTAAGAAAATACCACTTGGTGATCTAACAACAACCACTCATGATGAAGGTAAAATAGCTAACTTGCTCCGTAAAAAAGCTAACTTGCTAATTATCGCAGGACTTCCAGAGAGTGCAAAGCACAAGAAGATTTGTTAACGTGAAAGACATATTAGCAAAAACAATACTGGATGAAACAACAAATTTTCCAAAATGGTACCTCTTCAATGAAGTGCTGGACCTGGTCACGCCACAAGTCTACAGAGTACACCAATTCATCTGCCCATGGTTGTGAATCTTGTCCAAAACCCCAATATGATTCCTCATCCTCCTCCGCCATGGCCTTAGGAGCGGGATCTTCACACGCCAATGACATTCCCTGTCCCAGAAAATCCATCGTCCACACCTTGTAATCACGGCCAAGATCCATCAATTGCTTCTCAAAATGGAACGTGCCCACCCCAAAACCTGGTAGAAAAAGCACTGCTGGCGCCTTGCTATTCTTGGTGCCAGACTTCTCGTAGTATACCGTCAGCTTCGGCTTCCACTCCCACAAACCAGTGCTGATTTGAGAACTGTCTGGCCCTTCTGGCAGACCAGGAATGGACACTTTCTCGATCTGGCCTACCTTCTTGGAGATGCCCTGGAGGGCAGCATCGACATCGCTTACATCGAAGCTGCGGCTGACATGCAGCTTTCCTGAATCACCAGGATTTGAAGCTCTCCCAACACAGAGAACTGCGCTTTTTCTTGGCCGAGCAAACTTGGTATGCCGCAGACCAAGACCAGTGCCCAGAGACCTCCGAGCACTGGTAGGTGTTTGATGAAATGCCAAGCAAGAGTGACTGGAAGAAACCACTTCCATGGCCGCTTCAGTAGCTAGCACACTGGTTCTGCAACAACAGAGGAGCGAACAAAATTTACAGAGTTGCGCAGGAATGAAGAATTCCACAGGCTATATGGGATGAGGATATGGTCGGAGAAATGAAAGCAACACTTTTGCCGTCATTTATGAGAGATCCAGTGGAGTTAAGCTAAAAAAGGATCCGAAACAACACTTCGATTCAGCAGTTAACAACTTAACTGAATCCGACTCTGACGAATGACCAATTTTATGCTAATTACTCTGACAAAAGGCAGCACCAGATTGGTACCATTTTCTTACGCGAAAATGATACTGAACTATGAACAAGCAGGGGCGGACCTAGCGTTAGCCATGGGAATTCAGTTGAACTCAAATTTTATTTCGTTTAAGCATGACTTGGACTGGATGGCTCACGTGAAAAAAGGAAGAACACCAGAACAAAACACTGTAAAAAAAACAGTCGGAGCAAGTTAGGGTTCCTCACCGGCAAAAGGAGTCGGTCCAGCTCCGGTTGGATCTCCGCGCCACGGGAGCACAGTAGAGCGGAGGAGGAAGAACACCTTCCAGTTCCAGGTAGCGTGCTTCGGCGCGCGAGGCGTGTTCGGCGAAAGACGGAACAGATGTACTACCAGTAAGTGGCGAGGACCGACGGGGGGTGGTTTTGATCTGGAAGGCCTTGGTGCACCATCAAATTCTTGCGTTCAGATCACTCCTACCGAACCCATTTTGCGTCCGGGTAACTCCTACCTCCGCTTGTCTTCTTCCCCCTCTCCACATCCCGCTCCTGGCTCTGAAGCTTCCAACCCCGTCTCCCTCGACCACTCGTTCCTCCCACTCTCCACGGAGATACCCCACCAACCCGTCGGAATATCTGGTGGACGGCACGGGGTGGAGCCACCTGTCTTGTACCGGAGGTTTTGCCGCACATAATCATGCACGTGTTCTTCACACAACATTCACACCCACACATATGATTCCACGGTCAATACTACTACTAGTTGTATCTCGGCATCTAAAAAGCAGAGTATACGGAAAGAAAATCTTACAATCTATACATCCACACAGATGATTCCACAGTCAATGGTGTATCTCCGACATCTAAAAAACGAGTATCCGAGAAAAAAATATCTTACGCGCATGCCTGGATGCCGTTCGCCAGGAACAGCATAGCAAGAGAAGGGGATGGTGGTGGCAGTTTTTACCGCGTTTAGGGGGGCAGGGTTCCGGTTTTTAGAAACTGCCATGCCACTTCCTTCCTTGAAGGGTTTCTTGGGGGCTTTGTGAAAACTGACATTCATCTGATGGAGATCGTATGGCTCAGAGGTGGTTCGTCAGGATGCTCCCCCTAATGAACGGCAAGCAGATAACATTCCCTTACAATTTATACATGGTGTGCCTGCTATATGCACCCCATCAGTTTTTCTTAGGTTAGCAGAAGGGCTGGTAAGATTTCATTGAAGAAGAAGTTGATGGTTGATGGTCTACAGACGGATGTTATGTGCAGTTTGGGTTGCAATTGTGTGGGCCGTGCGAGCGGTGGATTGCGGAGACGGTGAGTTATTCA